TCTAAAAAACCGGTCGACTGAAAATCAGATATTTCAATAACCTAATTTTTTCAGAACGGTTGATTTTCTAAATTAGATTTAAGATATTAAATTAACTTCAAAAATAGTAAAACTTGGGAGGATACTTATATATATATATATAAAAATAGATATGTTAGAGAAAGAATTCTAAAATAGCATCCTGTATTTGTGAAAACTTATTATTTTACAAAAAACGTCAAAAATACGAGTTTTGAAATATGTGTGTGTAATCTCCAAATACTTAAAAATGTATCTACTTTATTTCTTGCCTACATTATGATCTAGAGAGAAGTAAAAAATACAAATATCACTTACAATTGTACACAATGCTTAAATATCGATATTCACTAGAAATTTGTTGTTGAAGCTCTTCTTGACTATATACTTGAATGCTCTTTATAAGTAGATATATGCTTGAGTCGATCTTTGAGTGTTTTGAGGCTTTTTCATCAACTTGTCTCCACCTCTACGGATATCATCGTTACGGCGCAAATCCTTCCAACCTCAACTAATGGCACTTTATTACTTGATAAATACATCTTGCGTAGGATCACTTGACAAGCAATTAGCACCGATAATGGGTTTGTAAATCATTATCAAAACATGAGACCTAACATTACCATGTTTAGGATGTCTCTTTCCTAGTTGATTAAACTATGTCTGATAGAAAGAGACAAATAGATGAGAGAGTTTTAGCTTTTTTATGAGAGCTTTAGGATTTTGAGAAGAGAATATATTGAATTGAAGATTTTGACCCTTGGACACCCACTCAAGAGAAAATTACAATCATTTGTAATTTGCACTAAATTATAAATCACCTATTAGAATATCAATAATTACAAAAATTTAGTGATCTCTCTACTATTTTTTCAGTAACGGAGAACTGTTTACCGTTCTCTAAGGGGGTGTTATTCATTCCGGATTGTTGATTTGGATTGAGATAATTGTCCATGAATCCAACATTCTTGAATTGGGAGTTGAAACTCAAATTTCATGATTAGGGCCGCGGACACTTGTATTGGATTTTGATTTTTTGAGTAGAAATCTTGAACTTTTGGTTTGGATTCTTGAGTTTTTACTTTGGATTTATGGACCGGGGGTTGGATTCTCCAACTAAATTTTACATTCGTAGATTATTTGAATTAGGAGTTTCAAAATAAATTATTATGTTAAATAATAATTATTTAAAAATTAATATTAATTTGGAAAGCCACCCTCATTTCGATTAACAAATGACAACAACAAAACCGAATACATCTTATAATCCTAAGTAGTTTACACGATATCACATAGTAGAATATAACTAGTGCAAGCACATAAACGGAAAAAAACTAGTTTTCAATTACATAAATGAAAATAACTAGTATGTTAAGTGATTAAATAGTATTAAATACATCAGCCTCCTCCGATTTCAGGTCCTCTGTTGCTCACGTCCCCAGTAAAAGGCGTTTGTTTATCCAAGGTCCACTTGCCTTTGGTTGTCCTTATCCATTTGAGCCATGAATAATATAGAGTTAAACTTGCTTTGTTCGATCGGCTATGGAATGGTCAGCACAAAGAAATTTACAAGCAAAACAGAAGAAAACATTACCCCCTTTCTCTGTGCACTCAACTACAATCAAATACTTTATTAACCCATTACTTTGTATTCCTTGTTACCCCTGCTATTAGCTAGCTAGGTTTAGGATTTAGGGTTTGGGATAACATAGTTCAGGCCTAGCTAATGCGACACGTCATTGCGTGGACGGTCATCTCTCCACCGACCAACCTCCTCAACCCTCTCTGGCCGCTGGATCTACATTAGTCTATCCACTAAGCATCTATATACGCATTAAAATAAGATATAAGCTAAGTTTATAATACTTTTAACTTCTTTATTTTTGGTGCGATATGATCCCTCGACTTTTGTCCCGCTTACGAGCGGACGGTTCCGTAGATGAGGTGGACGTCCGTGTCGGCGCTCGTCACGTGCAGCTCACCTGACACGTCGACATCTCTTTGGTTCTTTTTTACCCCCACGATCGCGACATCTCTTTGGTTTTTAGTAAGGATTTATTTCGGCCGCTTGTTATGGATGGGAGTTTTGTCTGGACTCCCACCCAAGTTTTATTCGTTTATTTTCGGCTAAAACACTAAATTGGTATATTTATACGAACATTTTTGTCAGTTTAGTATTTTTAAAAACTCCGGCGACGACAAAGCATTAAAGCTCGTCACTTTTGTCAATAAGATATTTTTCTCAAAACTCCGACGAAAATTTTTGTTTTTAACCCCCTTATCTCTAAAAATTATTAAATTAGTGCCCTCCCTCTCCTCCTCCTCTCTCATTCCCCTCTCCCTCCAGCGCACCATCGTCCTCCACCTCCTCTCCTCCGTCACCATCTCCCTCCTCCGGGTCAACCTCGGCCCCATCATCCCCTCCCTCTCCTCCTCCTCCTCCTCCTCCTCCTCCTGAGAAAATTTCTCATCTAAAGTCTTTCATTAATTTTCTTCTGTGCAGGGGATCAAATAGCCCGTAAAAAGAAATCAAACTGAATGTGAATTACATTGAAAGCATGAAATTTGAAAACCTTTTTCTCATGTACACTAATCTAGTAAATGTTTCAACTCTAATAAACTTTGAGAGAGTGAAGAACATACCTGGAGCAATGTAGCCATAAGACCCAAATATGGCAGACATACACTCAGAAGTCCCAGAATCCTGCAAGAACTTCGCCAGCCCAAAATCAGCAACATGAGCTTCCAAATTCGAATCCAGAAGTATATTATTCGACTTCACACCGTGGTGAAGGATCAAGGGAGAACAATCGTGGTGCAGATAGCACAATCCCTTGGCGGCCTCCACCGCAATCTTATACTTGGCATCCCAATGCAAAAACCCTCCTTTTTTGCCATGAAGGACCTCACCAAGACTCCCATTAGGCATATACTCGTACACCAAGGGATTGGTTTCATGATTCGAGCAAAAACCCAGCAGCCTAACGATGTGTTTGTGTCTGATTCTGCCCAGAGTTTGGATTTCAACGTTGAACCCAAGATCGTGTGAGGATCCCCGACTCATTTCTGGGAATCTTTTAACAGCCACGTGATCGCCATTAGGCGTCGAGCCTTTGTACACAATCCCGACTCCTCATTTGTCGAGGTTGACCCAGAGGAGGGAGATGGGGACGGAGGAGAGGAGGAGGAGGACGATGGTGCACAGGAGGGAGAGGGGAATGGGAGAGGAGGAGGAGGAGGAGGAGAGGGAGGGCACAAATTTAATAATTTTGGGAGATAAGGGGGTTAAAAATAAAATTTCTCGCCGGAGTTTTGAGAAAAGTGCCTTATTGACAAAAAGGACGAGCTTTAATGCCTTGTCGTCGCTGGAGTTTTTAAAAATACCAAACTGGTAAAAGCATTCGTATAAATATACCAATTTGATATTTTAGCCGTTTAATTTCTCATTTTAAGAAATTGTTATGAAGGAAAATATATACAATATCAGTTTTGGATTTAAGTTTTCATCAAACTTTGAAAGTTATGAAGGAAAATATATACAATATCAGTTTTGGATTTAAGTTTTCATCAAACTTTGAAACTATTAGAGGGTTACGTGAAACACAACAAAGAATATGAATTGAACAATAAAAACCAGGGTTGACTTTAACCATTTTGGGGTAAATGTTTAAAATAATATTAGATTTGAGTGGGCATGTAAGAAAAAAAAATCCTAATTTATTAGGTAGCACTTATTTCTATATTCCTAAACATACAAAATTAAACTAAAATTCACAACAGACCTTTTTTTTTCCTTTGCAAGCCAGTTTGGTAGCCAAAATCAGAAAAAAAACACATTATTTTTTATAATACCTGTTTTTTTAATTTCGTTTTTGTTTTGAAATCAAGAAGGGGAGTAAGGTGACACTCTTCTTCCATTGCTGAATTGACCCTAACTTGAGGAAACTCATTTTTGAGTTTCTATGAAATCATTTAAAAACATTTCTAGCTTTCCGTCGTCCTAATTTTTGTTGGGTCTGGTGAAAATTAAACAAACAAACCCAACCCAAAAACATAAAATTCTAGGTGAAAGTCTCTTCTTTCCAGAAAACGTATTTTACAACCAGGGACCTGAACCAAATTTGCCTCTCCCCAACTCCTTTTTTTCCCTAGAAGAAATTTTCAAATTGAACTCATTCCCAATTTTATTCCCAAAAATCGACCCACTTTAAAGTGTTTATTACCAAAATCGACCCATTTTCTTGTCATGTCAACTTCGTGACCAGAAAGTGGGTCGATTTAAAAAAAATCGCGATCTTAATTAGTCGGGGTTGCTAACCCCGACTAATTAGGATCTCACCCACAACGCTTCAGTAAATTGGCAGCTAAATTAGTTGGGGTTCGAAACCCCGACTAATTTAGCCATTGCAAAAATGATCAGGGTTGGGAACCCCGACCATTTCGAAATGCCTAATTCGAAATGGTCGGGGTTCCCAACCCCGACCATTTAGTAGAGAGTGGTCACCCCACGCCAGAAATGGTCAGAGTTGGGAACCCTGATCATTTCGTGCACAGCGTGCACAAAATGATCGGGGTTCCCAACCTCGACCATTTGACAGAGACCCTCCAACCCACAATCTGTTGGAAAAATCTCTCTCCTGCTAATACATATCAATCCACAAGTTTAACACCAACTCTCTTACTACGCATTTATCAATACATAATCAATTTCAAACACAAATAAACACATATTGTTATATATAATCATTACATCTATAACATATATTTAACAAAAACATAACATTCAATTCACTTACTTAAAATCCAACCATAATTAAGTCACAATATCATTTCAAACATAAACACCATAGCATTTCAAATATAAAACATCGTATGAAGTATATCAAAACTTAACAAATATTTACAACGCCCTTTCCTCTCCCTCTCCCTCTCCCTCTTCTTCCTCTCCCCCTTCCCCATTCACCTTCAACATGAGCTCGGATGATCTCAACGTTCGGTTGTGTGTGAACTTGTGAGTGCATGACATCCTTGTCGACTTGAACCTGCTATGAACATCCGGCTTGAGCTTATTGTGAGCCTCCAGCTTTATCATGTGCACGACTTGAGCCTGCTCCCGTGTGTCCTCGGACCTGTCGACGCTTGTATCCTATGAGTCGTTCCTCATGTCCATCACGTTTCGCATTATACGTCCTCCTAAGAGCAGACTGAATCTTTCCTATGATGCGAAGGAACGCGTTCCTCGCCCCTGGCTCAGTAGTTGTTCTCAATGCATCATGTGAAATAGAAGCAACCTTATTGAGTTCTTGTACCTATAAGATAAAAAGCAAAAGAGGATTATTAACAAGTGGATGATAGTAAAATAATAATTACAAAATAATTATATATTTTACCTATACACTTACCAACTCTCTCTTAACTAGACCTCTCGGTATGTACTCCTTGGGTGCTTTATTCTCCCAAAATATCCATCGATGAGTAATTCTCCAATACCACTGTAAGTACACACCTAGGTTAGGTGCGTCAGCCCTCTCCATCACTACAGCCTCCTCCCTCAACTCCTAATTCTGAATGTAAGCATGTTGAATTAGCTCTCAATTTGCATGATGTGCTCCTTTTTTGGGATTTTGCTCTATTCTTTCTACAGGATCTGGAATATGTTGCTTTAATTCAAATTGTTGAAGCACACAGTCAAGCACGTGCATTTTGATAATTTCAAAACATATAATCGGGACTCGAGCACGCCATATATCTTCACCTTCCCTGTAAATATCTAGTAGTGACTCTAAAACCAATTCATAGGGCATCCACTTGACCTATAAAGAAGATTAAGTAAATTTACATATCAGTAACAAATGATATATTGATTGAATATATTTAGATATTATGATTTTATACATGTTCATCCTCCATTTGATCAAGCTCGTTCCTGTAGAAGTTTTGATGACCCTTTGGGGAGGTTTGCCAAGATCTTGAAACATTTCATCTATTTTATATACAAAAGGTTAGTATAGATTAAAATAAATATATAAAATTACAGGTAATCATATCTATTACAAACATGTATACCTGCATCCTAACGGAATCTGGCCATCGAGAGTGCGGGTCTGTAAAACCCCCCAAAAAATCATGTTAATATAATTAATATGAGATTAATTATGATTTATGAATATTTATTTTGATAAATATAGTATATATCATATTTTCATGATATTTTTAGTTTTCTAAGAACCCTAACAGCCACCAAAACCTCTTTAAACATTATTTCGATTCTTGGAGTAGTTTGGAGGCTTTCAAGTGGATTTTTCGCGGGATTTTTAGCGTTTGGCTTGTAGATCTTCTTTGGCTTGGCTTCTTAAACGTTTTTCTACAAACCCCAGGCGATTTCATCTCTGCTAATCTCTCTCCTAGTTTTTAAAACATTTTTAAAGAGTTTTTAACATGTTTTATAGAGCCAAATTGACTAGTTTATGCCCTAACAGCCATCAAAACCTCTTTAAACCCTATTTTGATTCTTGGAGAAGTTTGGAGGCTTTCAAGTGTATTTTTCACAGGATTTTTGGTGTTTGGCTTGTAGATCTTCTTTGGCTTGGCTTCTTAAGCGTTTTTCTATAAACCCCAGGCGAGTTCATCTCTGCTAATCCCCCTCCTAGTTTTTAAAACATTTTTAAAGAGCTTTTAACATGTTGTATAGAGCCAAATTGACTAGTTCATGTATAAAAGTCAATTCTTTATATTATATGTATAAAGACTAAGTCTTTCCATGTTAAAAAGTTTGAGAACGATTTTTACAGAAGTAATTAAGATCTAAAAATGATTTAAAAGTGGTTTAAATCTGATGAAAGATAATTTGTGCTTTATTTCGAGTTCATGTGCAAGAATTAGGGTTTTTTATATGAATTTTATGCAAATAATCATGCTATATATGTTGGATTGTATTATATGTATAAAGACTAGGTCTTTCCATGTTAAAAAGTTTGAGAACGATTTTTACAGAAGTAATTTAGATCAGGAAGTGATTTCAAAGTGGTTTAAATCTGATGAAAGATGATTTGTGCTTTATTTCAAGTTCATGTGCAAGAATTAGGGTTTTTTTATATGAATTTTATGCAAATAATCATGCTATATATGTTGGATTTGTTCTCGAAAGTTTTTATCTGCTGTAGACATGTTTTCATGCAAGTTTCATGTTATTTTAATCATGTTTGAATCACCAAAACATGACATGAACACGACACACAAAACCAGCCTGAGAACCTGTAATTTTAGCTCATGTTCGACCTCTCCCTAGCTGCGGTCGATCGCGTGCAGAACTGAGACCTGGGTAAGCCCAGGAATCGGTCACGGTCGACCGCCGCATGATCGCGGTCGACCGCCAATCTGTAAGTGGCCCTGTGCATGTTTGTTTCGACTGTTTGAGTTGTCGAGCGAGCCTCTCAACCTTGTACTGTCATGATATAATGTTTATGGGTTGTTTAACACCTGAGATGTCAGTAAACACCAAATATGGACACGCACACCGAAATACGTGCACGAATGGTTAGAATATGTTGTGTTAACGTATTTTTGTCCTAGTTCAAGTTGATGAACATGAAGAGCATAGCATATTGCATTGTATTCCGGACTAGGGAGATAAAACCTATTTTCGCAGGGCAATTGAGTGAGAATATCACAAAAGTATCGTCATTTCATTATATTCCGGGATAGGGAGATAAAACCTATTGCCGCAGAGCGATTGAGTAAGAATATTACAAAAGTATCGCTACATCAAACACGCCGGTCTAAACCCGGAATTTCGACAACGAACAGACGATAAACGCAGAACCGGACGAATCTTAGCTACTCTACAAAGAATTGAATAGACTAAGAGGAATTGAGGGATTATGGACTGTACGTATCATGTCCAAAGTATCACAGCCTCTTCTATAAAAGAAACGAGGCTGAAACACTTTGGAGGGGGTATCTGTAGGCGTCAAAAACTGCCTATCGGCCCTGAATACAGTTCAAGGCGATGTAACAATGAATCGTTGACGCAATGAAGTCACGAAATGTTCGGAACAAGACCATGGGCTCACACGCTCGCTAACCAGCTCTAAAAGGTTCGTGCGTTTCGATGAATGTTCGCTTGTGAATCAACGAAACGTATGAAGCGAACCACAACTTCGATAAACCGTTCACGAATCAGCGAGACGCATAAAGCGAATCACAGGCTTGGTAAATCGTTCGCGAGTTAGCGAAACGTACGAAACGAATCGTAAGTTCGATAAATCGTCCGGAAGTCGGCAAAACGCACGAAGTTAATCATAAGTTCGATAAATCGTTGCAGAACGCATGAAACGAATCGTGCACGAGGAGATGAATCAACGAACACACATAAAGCGGAAAACAACTACAGAGAAAGCGAACAGATGAAACAAAAAACCGTCAAAAAAATTGAAAAGACGGGTAAACGGAAGCCACGGGGCTCGCGTGAGTGCGAGCCACCACGCGAGCCACCAAATGGTGGCTCGACAGTTTTGGGCCACCGCGGACAGTCCCGACCGGTCAAAATTCCCTAAAATACGTTTTTTGATGTTTTATCAGAGTTCTTTCGTTCTAGGACTTCTTCAATCGGCTTGAATCTTCCCCAAACATATCCGAGTCGTTATCAACTATAGAAGACATCAGAATACATATCTTATCAGAAAACACGACGACAAAATCCTATAAATAGAAGCCCAGGGTCTTCATTTGAGAGGATCTGAAATCAGGGCGAGGTGCTGTCGAATTGAGCAGTAAACCACGAATTTCAGAGAAGAATTAGTGAATCTTGGCAAACTTTTTCATAAAGAAAAATCCTTCGAAAGATTCGAGATTCTCTCCCCTTCCTTCCTCCGGATTAAGCCTTGTTTTAATCTCAAGAAGAGCCAGAATCCCGTTTGGTCGTGATTGTCGCTGTTGCAATTGTTTTCTTCATGAAACAAGGGCGTAGTTATATAGTCAACCGAATTTGATTTGCAGTGGTCCACGGACTAACGCGTCCTCAGCACAGGCAAAGATTCCACGCAAAGCATCAGGAGATAAACTACTGTTGCGTTTTGTTGAATAAAGTTATAATTTTTACTTTTTTTATTGTAAGAAGATCTTATAAAAAGATCAACTTTTCTCTCACTTTAAACTTGTAATTGATAAACTGTATAACAGGTTCGAAAGCAATGTAAACGACAATTTTTGACGAAAACACATGTCAAACTTCATTTTCAAGATTCATCAAAAACATGTATTATGTATATTTTTGATAAACGTTGAGTTTTTCACAAATATGAGGATCTTTTTACAAAATTTCTTTTCAAACATGTTTGTCAAAATGTTTATAAACTGTTCACAAAGTTTCATATTTTTTAGAATTTATTTACTATTTTTTACAGAGCCTTGAAACTTAATTTTAAAATCGATTCAGGCTGATAACCTATTATCAGTCGACTAGTCAGTCGACTGATGACATCAATCGACTGATGTGTCGACTGACGAAAGTGCCTGCAATCATCAAAAGTATTTGTTTTATTTTGGTCGACTGACCATACAACTAATGATCCATGAGTCAACTGATAAAAGGTCATCAATCGACTGATAAGCTACCGATTGTTTGCAACGGTCAGTTCATCAGTCGACTGATGAAACCCGTCAGTCGACTAATAAGCCTTCCAACGACTAGTTTTGTATAGTTTTCAGATTTTTGATTTTTGAGTTGTTTTATCTTTTTCTCTGGATTTTGGCTGATGTCTTGAGTGTCTATAAATACCCCAGTGCATTCAACTCTTATGGTAATCAAGAAAATTGTTTTAATCGAGTTTTGAAAAGGTTTAATTTGTGGTTAAGCATTGTTTTAAGTTTGTTTCAAAAGAGGAGTTTTTCACAAGAAGGAAGCTTTTGATTTCAACTGAGGAATTCATTCTCATCATCTATCTACAACTCCTTGTGTTTATAGAGAAGATTTCTAACTCTTTTATCTAGCTTATTTAATTTTTGATTTTCATATCCATATCTTAGCTAGTTTTATTTGAGTTAGAATTTTATTATTCTCATTTATCACTCACACCTCAATTGAGCTTTTAATATCATTCATACAATATATTGTTGGGTTGTGATGAGTGATTTAGTGAGAGTGAGCTTCATAGTGTTCTCATTCATTGTTAGAGAACAAATCATTGTACTTGAGCCTTATTGTGAGAGTATCACCTTGTAATACACATTTACACTAAAAGGAGTGTGTGGTGAGGATGTAGTCGATACCAAGAGGAGTGGCGTCGGTAATAAAGCCTAGAGAGGGGTAGTAAAGCCGAGCACTTGAGGGAGGCGATACGTGAGGACCAACACTTGAGGTTGTAGTTTGTGTATGTACATTGTGAGAGATTTGTAGAGTTTTCGGTGAGCTGAAAAACCGAATGTGTAGAGAAGTTCCGGCTTCCAAACCGGGTATGTCGATAGTGGAGTTCTCCCCGAGAGTGGGGAGCGGAGACGTAGGATGGAAGGTCCAAACTCCATGATCATATTATTGTGTTTGGATTGCTCTTTGTGTCCACTATTTGTTTATATTGTTTCTTGTTTATTTTCTCTTGTGTTTATATTCTTGCATGTATTGCATTGTATATCTATCATGCAAGAATATTTTGTTAATAAGTTTTAGTTGGTATTAATATCTAATAAGATTAGCAATAACCCTATTCCCCCCCCCCCCCTCTCTAGGGTACT